TCAATTTCCTTCTTCTGATCTATCACTTTTTTAATCATGGCAATTTTAAATTCTCTTTCTGGAAGGCTCAGAAGTTCTTCCAAGTTGCTGTCGTTGCAATCTGGGGAGTGGTTTTCTTTTTGTGGTGTGCTTCTTTCCTGAGGAGTTTTTAGGTTGCGTGTGGTTCTTCTACTCCCTACTGTCTGTTTTCTAATTTGTCGTATGCGTTGGGACACTGTGTTGCTCGGACTGACTGACATCTTGGGTGAACTTCTCCGCTCCCCTCTGGCTCTTCCAGGAGCCATCTCTGTCTTCTGGGGGAGCTTTCTGCTGGTTTTAGGCAGTTTTTACTTAAGAAATGTCCCTGTTCTCAAATGGCGAAGCGGGATGCAGTCCCTGCGCCTCCGGTTTCAGGCACACTCTTCTGCGCACCCGGTCTGCCCCGGACGTGGGTGCCTGCTCCCTCTGTGGGCTCAGACTGCTGGTCGGAAGGGGCCTGGCGTGGAATAACTTCCCGGCTGGCCACTGGGTCCTCCAGAAACCTTCTGCCCTTTTCAAGCAGTCTTAAGAAATGTCCTGTTTTATAGGGTGTTAGTGACTTTTTTTTCCCTGGTCGCTAGGTGGCGCCAGAGATCTCTCCTATTGTCCTTGGGGGGCTGTTTTTCGCCTCCCCCCACCCCGTGGGACAGAGAACAGAGCGGGAATGGTAGGGTACACCTCAACAGCTTTGGGGTGCTGTGTCTGCCTTGTGCCCCACCGTTGTGGAGAAACCACGCCCCGAATTTTCGTGCCCCCGGGTCTCAGTTCAAAGCCCTCAGTTCCAGGACGCAGGCTGTAGCCCAGATCAGTGGCGCGGGAATGGCGCCTTTTGCACAGCTCCCGTGCCTGGGCGCCTGGTTCCTGCTCACTCAGGGAGGGACCTTCACCTCAGTGAGGACCTCCGCGCGTCTCCCCGCAAGCCTAGGTCGTCTCCCCGCAAGCCTAGGTCGCAGGCGCGGGGACCTGGGCAGCCGCGATTCCGGTCTGCACTTGCTTTTCAAGCGCGCCGAGCGCGCTGCTCTGCCGCTCTCTGCGCAAGCTTACCGGCAGCCCGGGCTGTGTGCGGGTCTCCTGGGGTCTTTGTTCTTCTCTAATGGCGCCCGGAGCCGTTCGCTCACCGCTGCGGCGGATCCTGCAGGGTTCGCCTCAGCTCCCGTTCACGGGGTGTGGTGGCTGCAATAGTTCCTTTCCACTCACAGTCCCGCTTGCTGGGTCGTTTGTTCTTGTGGGTCGTTTTGGTTTGTTGTTTCCTCCTCTCTGCCGGTCGGAGAGTGCCGCCTCTGTGGGCGGGGGAGGGGAGCAGGGTTCTGCGCTTCCCTCCCTTCTAGTCCTCTTTTATGGCCAGTTTCTTCTTCGGGCAGTTCGCTGGCGTCACCCGTTTATCTTCCGTGTCCCAGTTCTCACTGGGACCTGCCGCTTTTCCTCCCTATTAACTTTTTTTAATGGGAGATCTTACTCGCAGTGTCTCCTCGCCGCCATGTTGCTCCGCCCCCTCTCTTTTCGAGTATATATTTTTCATATGCTCTTTATCCATTCATCCATTGTTTGGCACTTAGGTTATTTCCATATCATAATTATTGTAAATAATACTGCAGTGAACATGTGGTGCTTATATATATTTTTATTTAAAGATTTATTTTTATTTATACAAGAACTGGGGTACAGGCCAGAGGTGCCGGAGGGTGAGAGGATTCACCAGAGACGGAGCGGAGAGCAGGACAGGCAGAAGGACCAAAAGTACTGTAGAGGGGAGCAGTGGGTAAGACAGGAGAGGTCTGCTGCACCATATGGGTATCTCCCTGGCTGGCAAGGAATCGAACCCATGCTGCAGAGGCTGTGGACAGCTTCACAGCGCTGCGCTCAACCCGCTATGCCACCGGGGAGGCCCTGGTGCTTATATTTTTTGAGGATTTTTTTTTCCTATCCTTCATAGAGCACCCAGAAGTGGAATAGTTGGATATTATGGTAATTCTGTTCCTAAGTTTTTGAGAAGTTCCTGTATTGTTTTTCATAGTGACTGCACCAACTGTACAGTTTCCTTTTGTTTCCTCATTCTTATCAACACTTGTTGTTTCTTTCTTTTTTTTTTTTTAAATAAAAACCAGTTTAACAAGTATGAGGTAATAACTCCTTGTGGTTTAATATGGATTTTTCTAATGATAAGTGATATGGCCATATTTTCATTGTATATTGGCCATCTGTGGTGAAATGTCTATTTATATCCCCTGCCCATTGTTTTATCAGGTTTGGGTGTTATTGTTGTAAAGTTGTATGATTTGTTTATGTATATATTTTGGATATTGACCTCTTGTCAGATGTATGATTTTTATAAATATCTTCTATTCAGGAGGATGTCTTTTATTTACAGACAGCTTCTTTCTCTGTTCAGAAGCTTTTTAGTTTGATGAAGTACCATTGTTTATTTTTGCTTTTATTTTTCTTATTTCTGGAGTAGAATTCCCAAAGATAATTCTAAGGCCAGTATCAAAGAGCTCATTGCCCTACCTTTTCTTATGGTTTTTCCCTCTTATATTCAAATTTTTACCATTTTGAATTAAGATAGTAGTCTAGTTTCATTCTTTTGCATGTGGCTGTCCAGTTTTCCAAACACCATCTATTGAAGAGATTTTCCTTTCTCCACTGTATGTTATTGACTCTTTTACACAATTTATTTGCCCATATTTACATGAGTTTATTTCTGATCTCTCAATTGAGCTATGTGACTATTTTTATTCCAATACCATGCTGTTTTGATTATTTTAGCTTTTTAGTTTAGTTTGATGTTGAGAGTTAACTCTGTTTTTATTCCTTTTCACTCAGGATTGCTTTGATTATTTGAGGCCACTGGTTTCATACAAATTTTAGGATCTTTCCTTCTGTTTTTATGAAAAATGGTTGAAAATTACCTTGACTAAACTCAGTGGCATTGGCCATCTTTGTAGAAGCCTGGTTACCTTGAAATAGTATGCTCAGATTCTCCCTTTCCTGGAGAGTACCTTTCACCATGAAAGTGGAAAAGGGTGATTAGTTACTACATTGTACATTGAAGGCACTTCTGGCTCGTCTGACCCAATTGTCTGAACTGTCTAATCTAACCATTGATTTTGAGTTTGGCTATCAATAAGGATATTTATGGCCCACAAGTATTGCCCCTGGAGACTGCATAGAACCCTCTGTTTTGCGCTCTGTGTATCTCTCTGCTGTCTACCAGGTCTATCCAACTTCTCAATCACAGACTTTGCAACTGCCTTTTGAGCCTCCCAGCTTTGACGCTTGGGGCTGCCCAGAAGGAATCACCTTGTTCTGCTTGGGGGCACATGAACAAGACTCCATGCCCTTCATAGCCCTGTAGGCAGATATCACTCCTACCAGTGGGGGTCAGTCCACACCCCACTCCCAGGTGTGATCACTGGCATCCAAAGGGCATACTCTCTTTAAAAAGTGCCTAAGGCAAGTCAGCTGCTGCAGTGGTCCAAACAGGTTCCTTTGAGGAACATTAAATAGTGCCAGTTCCCCAATAAAATGTTAAATTGATATAAGTTACTTTTTGCCAAAAATAAGATGATTGGACTCACAGAGAGGGAAGCAGGACCTTTTGATCTTCTGCTGAGCACCCCTTGGCAATTCTGACATTTGGATTGAATTCCGGGCAGGTTAGCTCAGATCAAGTGCAATGCCAGAGGCTGAAGGTTACAAGTAGTGTCCCTGAAGACTGCCAACCTTGGGGATTGGCACTTCAGCAGATGAACATTTGAATTGCTCAGTGCATAGTGATAGAGGGGAAATGTCAAAATTAGTAGATTCTATGATTAGAAGACCGCAGGTGCCTTCATCTCTGTCTTCCTATTGGCTGGAGAGGAAAGAGTGTATCCTTCAGATACCAGTGATTTTTCATATCTATTTTTGGGATTCCAGTAAGATTTCTTAGTTCTTTGACCATCTACAGTGGGGGGTGGAGGGAAGTGTGCGTGGAAGAGGAAAGGCCTAAAACCGTATGCTCTGATAATCACAATAATTATAGATTATTTTGCTATGCCTGGGAGAGCATCTAAGTAATAAAAAACCTAAGCATGACTGAAATGGAATTTTTTAAAACTTGCATAAAAATTCCAAGCACAGAGTTGGTGATTATCTACAGAGGAGAGGTTACGTTTGAAGTAGGGGCATGATTAATTCCAGTAAGTAAAAGGTGGTCGTGAGCCCAGTTTTCCTCCAGCAAATGCTGGCTCTAAATGGAGGCACAGTGGTGGGCATGGCAGTAGGCAGGCATCACTGTGTGCCCTCTGCCAGGAGCTGGTTAATAATGCAAGCCCATTAATCCAGGACGAAGCCCACACAGTGTTCCTGCTCCTAGCAGCAAAACCACACATGTGGCTGCTTGAAAAACTGGACATAAGTGTGGTTCCATTGCAGAGACATTGGGGGACATGAACTCTATGCCCCTCTTTCTTCCCTTTCTTTTGGAATGATATACCTTTAGGAAGGTTCGGTGGCTAAATAAACAGGATTCTCTGCCCATTGTCAGTAGACTGTCTCAGAGTATTAGTTGTTCATTTCACTGACATATTCTGAAGGGTCTATAGGGGGCTTTTTCAGAAGTCAGGACCTCAATGTAATATACAAGCATTGATTCTGATATTTCCCTCGATAACACTGCTCGACCATATTGGGGTCGTAAGTCAGTAAGGTTCATTGGCTGCCGTAATGCTCGCTGTCACCAGTAATAAGTACAAAGGACTTGCTCTAAAAGCTGGCTTATAAAACTTTAAGGAAACTTGGATTGCTTAAGTGAACTTGCCAGGCTCTAGGGGGTGAGGCAAGTGGGCCTCACTTGTCTGCTTATATTAATTTCACAGAGTTTAAAGGGTCAAAAGGAGGTCGGTGATGCTTATTAATTTATGACAGACTCTTGTCTGTCCTGTTCGCTCTCTTTGACCATTCTCCCTTTCCGTTTAGAAAATTTAATATAAATTAGACCTTACCAGACAAGCAGCCCCTAAAGGATTAACTCTAAAGTTCACCACTGGAAAAAGGCATCCAGAGAGGCTGGGTGTTTTTGCTGCCACAATTTCATGGGATGTGATGCTGGAACAATAGAATCATGGAGTGGACATAAAACAGGAGAGAAAAATAAGCCATTAGAGGTGAATTGCAGTTATCCAAGGGATAGGATTTTTTTTTTTTAATTAGGATACATACCTGGTTCTAAGGTGTATCTTGGCTTGTTTCTCCAAGAAATGATGACTCACCAGGGCTATCTTCAGCACGGTCCTTGCTAGGAGAAGATGTGTGGGTATCACAATGTCCCAGAAACTCTGTTGGCTGAGGCCAAGCTGTGGAGAAATGGACTATATCATAGATACCATAACCACACTAACTCATGAAAATGTTCCCTCCCAGTTGATTTGCTTTGGGAGAAAGAGAAACACCACACTCATCTAAAGGCATGTATTTGAGGGCAGACCACCTTGTCCAGTCCTCACCACGAGTTTTGAGGCTTGCTCTCAGAAGCCGGTGGTGAGGCTTATGGTGGGTAATATGTTTTATGAGGTCATTTGTGACCTGCCTGTGGGGTGCTCGGGTCATAAACAGGTCTGCTGCCTCCTTACCTCTCAAACCCAGGAACCACAACTGCCAAGCCAGACCTACCCGTAGGAGGACTTTCCCAGCAGTGTGTCCAAGTGGGTGGCTGTTTGTCCAGGCCTGGAGTGAGGGCTAAAAATCAGGCCAGCGGGGAGCCTGGAAGTGTGGGGGCTGCAAGGTCAGGCTGGGAAGGTGGCAGCAGACACGCAGGGTCAAGTCGGCCAGTCATATAATTTTTACTCTAGTTTCAGTGGGAGCTGTTGGGAGGTTGGAAGCAGAGAAATACTCAGGTTGGTGAGTTTGAAAGGTGACTTTGAGAACTGCCACTTCCTGTTGGGATGGAGAGCTTCTGGCAGATTATGTTATAGAGAGTACAAATTAAAAAAAACAGATAAAATATAGAAATTGTCTGTTTGAAGGCATCAGAGAACTGCAAAGTCAAGGAGAATGTGAACAGCTACAGTGACTAAGAGTCAGTGGGGTTTTGTAGCTGCTCTCAGATGGGTTGTGGGCCAGGCTTGAAGTGCAGACCAGACTTATGCAGGCCAGGGCCTGTGTGTCCAGGATTTGCAACTGCTGCAGGCGAAAGAGAGACCAGGGAGAGACCTGGGAGCCTCACACATACAGCTTGGTTTTTCCTCAGCTGAATTTTGAGGTTACATAGAATGGGAGGCAAAAATACCTCAGCTTAAGTCCTCTGGAAAAAACACAACAGTCTCCAGAAGTCTTCATAATGTCCAGACACAAAGGTCAGAGTCCAGAACTCATTCTGGGGAGGGGACCCAGTGAGCACGCCAAACTTTCAGGTCAGTATTTTGGAGGACCCTGTCTTAACTGAGAGTAAACAAGAAATGGATTAACTTCATCTTACAGATCCTTCACAAACATGGTCTCTCATTAGACTCAGGTGATAAATTACATCACCTGGGGGCCCTAAACATTTTATAAGCAATATCCATTAAAATAATAATTATTAGACTAGCCAAAACACAGAACCATATGACTGAAAATCAGGAGAAAAAACAGTTAAAAGAAACAGGTGATCCAGACATAGGATTCAGTTAACAAGATTTTTTTTAATATGATCTATTTTAAGCTAACTATCCTTTATTTTATTTTTTAATTTTTTAAAACATTTATTTATTTATACAAGCTCTGGGTACAGTCAGAAGTGCGGGAGAGTGAGAGAATCCACTAGAGCCAGAGCGGGGAGCAGAGCAGGCAGAAGGACCGAAGCACACTGCTGAGGGGAGCAGCGGGCGGCAGGAGAGGTCTGCGCACCCTGTGTGACCCTCCTCCGGTGGCCGGGGAGCAGCCAGGGATCGAACCAGCACCAGCAACCCAGTGCTCAACCGCTGCGCCACTGGGGAGGCCCTTAACAAGATTTTTAACTGACCTGATATATATGTTTAAGAACAAGAAGAAAATAACTAAAATTATGGATGCTGCACCAGAGATTTGAATATATCAAATCAAATCATCAGTAATTACATATTCTTCCTGACGCCAGTCTCTGGAAACCACCTTCAACTTTTAGTTCCTATGAATTTGATTATTGTACATTTCTTATGTAACTAGAATCAATCTATTTATTCTTTTGTGACTGGCTTATTTAACTTAGCATAATGTCTTCAAATTTCATCCATGCTGAAGCCTGTGTCTGCATTTCCTTCCTTTTTTAAAAAAATTTATTTTATTATATATATATATATTTACATCATTTTTCATTTTTGCACAATGTATGCATTTTCATCTTGGTTATATTCCCCATACAATTCCCACCCCCCCTTATTCTGACCTTGATCCCTCCCCCCTCATAGTGTGTCTCTGGTTTATAGTTGCTTGTTGATTTTGATTTTAACTTTATTATAATTAGTCTTTTTCCTGGTCCCTTATTTTGGTTTTCTAAATTCCTGCTATTAGTGAGACCATCCAGTATTTTTCTTATTTTCCTGGCTCAGGCATCACACTCCCACATTTCAAACTATACTACAAAGCCATGATAATCAAAACTGCATGATATTGGAACAAGAACAGACACATGGGCCAATGTAACTGAATAGAAAATCCAGAAATAAACCCACAGATTTACAGTCAACTAATCTTTGACAAAGGAGCAAAGAATATGCAATGGAGCAAAAAAGTATGTTCAATAAATGGTGCTGGGAAAACTGGGTTGGTACATGCAAAAGAATGAAGCTTGACTATTACTTCACACCATCACAAAAATCAACTCAAAGTGGATTAAAGAACTAGACATAAGAACTGAAATCATAAAATATATAGAAGGAAATATAGGCAAAACACCACATGACATACACCTCAGGAACGTCTTTAAAGACTCATCACCCAAAGCAGTGATAGCGAAGGCAAAGATAAACAGCTGGGACTACATCAAATTAAAGAGCTTCTGTACAGCAAAAGAGACAGTAACCAAAACAAAGAGACACCCCACTGACAGGGAGAAAATTTTTTGCACACGACACTAATGATAAAGGACTGATCACAAAAATCTACAATGAGCTGAAAAGACTCACAAAAACAAAGTAAATAATCCAGTCAAAAAATGAGCAGAAGAGCTAAAAAGAAATTTCTCCAAAGAGGAAATGCAAATGGCCAACAGGCATATGAAAAAATGTTCAGCATCACTTGTAATCAGGGAAATGCAAATCAAAACTACAATGAGATACCCTCTTACACCAGTGAGAATGGAACATTAAAAAAAACCTAGCAACAACAAATGTTGGCGAGGATTCAGGGGAAAAAAGGAACTCTCCTGCCCTGCTGGTGGGAGTGCAAACTGGTCCAACCACTATGGAGAGCTGTGTGGAGATTCCTCAGCCTGCTAAAGATGGAGATTCCATATGATCCAGCAATTCCACTCCTAGGTATTTACCCAAAGGACACAGAATCATTAATTCAAAAGGGCACCTACACCTCCATGTTTATAGCAGAACTATTTATAATAGCTAAACTATGGAAACAACCCAAATGCCCAAAAATAGATGACTGGATCAAGAAGATGTGGTACATATACACAGTGGAATATTACTCAGTAATCAAAAAAAGATAAACTCATGCAATTTGCAGCAACATCGATGGAGCTGGAAGGGATCATGCTTAGGGAAATAAGCATTTCCTTCCTTTTAAAGACTGGATACTATTCAGTGGTGTGGACATACCACACTTTAAAAACCATTCATTTGTCTACGAGTACTTGGGTTGCATCAACCCTTTGACTATTGTGAATAATGCAGCTATGAATAGTGTAAAAAATATCTTTTGCCATCCTTACTTTCATTTCTTTTGGGTAAACACCAAGACATAGAACTGCTGCATCATGGTAATTCTTTGTTTAATTTTTTGGGGAACTGCCACACAATTTTTCACAATGGCTATGCCATTTTATGTTTCCACTAACAAAGCACAATGGTGACAATTTCTTTTATTCTACAGAAAAATCTGAACTTTTAAACTGGAGTTTAAAGTTTCAACAGAGGATTTAAAAACTGAACATGAATGTAAAGTTTACTAGAGTTAACCTAACAATGTGATAGGCACCCACATGTACAAACTATGACTAATTCCTCTTCATGAAGAAATTACAGTAATGCTTGCTCAGTGTGGCAGAGAAAACCTCCTCAGACCCATTTCAGTTCAGATCCGCTTCTTTATTACTCACTTATGTCTGTTCTCTCAGTTAGTTTCTTGTACCTTCACTTTAGAATGTTGCCTCTTTGATTTAAGGTGACTTAAATATTAATTGCAGAGATTTTTCAGAATTGCCATCAATCAAGCCTCAGATTCACTCTCCCTCCAAAATCATTATTAGTTATATATGTTAGTCGGTCCTGGTTCTATATATTTTAGTTCATACAGGCTTATGCAATGCTGGAATTTACTAAGGCTTTCACTAATCCAAAATGAGGGTTTCCACATTAACTTCTGGGAATATTGCCTATCTTCTGTGAATTCTGAGCCCTCTGCTTTCCCTCAATGAGCTTCTTGTTAATAAGTGGTTCAGTTTTTTTTAAATTTGTATTTTAAATAAATATAAAATTATTTTTGTAATATAAAATTATTCATTTTTGAAAAATATAAATTTGATGGTTCAGTTGTTAATGAGCTATCATGCATATAGAGTGTGTTTCTGCCATGAAGAATCTATAATTGATAATAATGATCCTAGAATGTTCTTGAAAATGGATGTTCCAAAATCATCCAAGGATGTCTGGAAATATTTTTCCCAAGATGGGATGCTAAATATTTTACCTTTTCCAAAAGCTTTCCAGGTAGATGGGTTTGGAGAAAAACATTTTTTTTAATCCAAGAATACTGTTAATTGAGATATTTGTTGACTATTGGCCACTATGGCAAAGGGAACCATCTGGGGTCACTGAGAATGAAATAGCATTTGGTCCACCAGGAAGTGAGTGTACATTGGCAAATCCATGCTACCATCAGACAGATCCATCACCTCCAAAAATCTCCTTTTCCCTCTTTATTATTACTACTATTTTGGGGGGAGAAAAAACTTAATATAAGATCTACCCTTCTTGAAAATTTTAAAGTAAGCAATACTGCATGTTAACAATAAAGTCTGTGCTGTATAGTAGATCTCTCTAAGGATTTACTCACCTTGTATAACTAGAATTTTGCCCTTTTTGACTCATATGTTCCCATTTCTCTCTTCTTGAACTCCTGGAAAATCACTTTCTGCTCTCTGTTTCTATGAGTTGGATTATTCTAGATTCCTAAGTGGTTTCATCCAATTCACACATTGAAGCTCTGTATTTACCTTCAAGGACATCTGGCAGTAAGGCATGGGGTCTGCCTGCCAACCCACACCATCTCCTTTTTGACTAAATACAGATTATCTGACTTCACTGTGTCTCCAAATGGAAACCTTAGGAGGGCATCATGGAAGGCATTTCACAGATGAGCAAGCGGAGGCTCCTTGGCTGCAAGTGAGAGTGAAGGGTAGAGAATGGGGTCTTTTGACTCGAAGTTCAGATGCTGGAGTTTTGCATGGAAAGAGGGGAAGCTACTTTCTTATCCTTCAAGCAGTATAGAACCATGAGGGAATTTGTAGAGAGGCAGATTTTGGGGTGAAAAATTGGAAGATGGAAATCTATTCTAATAGGAACTGTTCATGAGGCCCACTGCCTCCCTGTAAACTCTGCGGAGGGGGTTAGCAGAGCAAGTGGCATGGTCACTGGTGATGGGACAATGGCCAAGCCAACTCTATGTGCCTGTGACTCTTGTGGTTCCAGTAACTTCTTGTTTCTTTTCATGGAGTTATAAATCATTTACTGAAGCCAAGATCCAGAATCAATGCCTGAGAGTTCCAAGTGCCTCTTCATTGCAAGTGTGGAGAATGGAGACCATAAATGATTCAACTACTGTTCTCTGGTGTGAATCACCCAAGAATTCCAAGCAATTTGCCTATTGATTTTCTGCTTTTGGCAGCAGCCTTTCTGCTCTGTGGGGATGTGATTTTGACTGCAATCCTTATCACAGGGAATCTACTATTTTGCTTAAAAGGCTCATTAATTTTCTAAACTTGAAAAATATGGCCCTGGAGCCAACCACTCCAGCCCTCCCTTACAGCACAAAGGAGAATGGATGTCGCCATTAACGGCTAATATTTTCCTTAAATCGACTCCCTTCTCAGCTCATGTGCCTACAACTCAATGCTCCCAGACCAGACGTGTGTTTTTCAAATGAAATTGCAGTTAATGGTACAAAATATTTACATTTATGCCCTAAATCCAAAAAGCCACAAAACTTTATTTCTCCTTTTGTAGTTTCAATATTTAATTAGTGATGGAGCACCAGAAACCTGTAGGGAAAAAACGCCCCATTATTTTTTAAGTTATAGTGTATTTACAGCCCATTTCCACCTGCTTCCTTTGTCTCCACCTGTCTCCACTCCACACAGATTCGTCTCAGCTGTCCCCGCAGGAATACAGCTGTGTCATCACATCCAGTGGCATCCTAATATTTCATACTAAGCTTTAAACCAATTAGGAATGACGACTGACTGTGCTGACTCATGGGAAGAGAAGGGGATAATGTGTCCTTCAGGTAATGAACTTCTTTGGGGACTTAACACATATTTCATTTTTTAGCACCTTCGGTTTTCTCTTGTCACATTGCCGTGGATGTGGCTTCATTTTGTCTCATTGTGCTAGGAGGATTATGCTGGGATTATTATCTGCAGAGTAACCAAGCTTATATTAATAATGGCAGGAATAGGGCAGATGTGTGTGGAGATTATTAGGCCAATCTTGGAGGCCCTGAGGGCCTCCTGGAGATGGTAGAGGGGTGTTGGGACCCTCTTAAAAGGCTGCATCAACTGAGCTCCAGCCAATTGTGGTGTGTGGGAACCAGGACTCCTGGTTTTACAAGATGAGCCTGACATCTAGATTTTTAAAACCTATTTCAGAGTAGAGTCTCTATCCAAAAGGAAGATACCAGCCTCCAGGGGGAGAGTGAGAGCTGGCCCTTAGTTTTCGAGCATGCAACAAATCTATGAATGAATTTTATTTCCCCTCCAGTGGGTAGGCAAATGTATGCATAGACTTCCTTTAGGATTTCCTCCAACTTTGCATTTATCCATACTAGTTGAGGAGAGAACTTGGGTCCTGAGCCCCACTCTGGGTCCATGTGGTGAAAGTCTAAGGCAGGGGCTGGCCAGCAAGGGACAGGCAGGGCCACTGACCTGGGAGCAATCAGACTCTTTTTGTCTAGAGGAAAGGATCTAAACCAAGGTGGAGGTGGGGTCTGGAGCAATTTCTGCATGGCTGTTGGCGCAGGAGTAGATTTCTAGAGTAAGCTCCTGCCACCCAACACAGAAGAGGGGGCCCTGGCTGCATAGTCTTTGAGGAAGTTGCTGTCCCGGACACTCTCAATTGCATGTGTCATTTACTCCATACAGCAGCATGGCCAGTGGGCTACTGCCATTCTGCCAGAGAAGAAACTGAAGGTGTGAGCATTTTGCAAGTAGAAAGTGGTCGAGCTAGGACCCAAAGGACCATCTGAGGGGCAGGCAAGTGACCCACTGCCCTGGATTTGGGGAAATGCACCCTACTTCCTTGCCAGGAATTTAGCATGACAAATGGCAAGAAACCCATGGCTTTTGCCTACATTTTTAGGACCCCATATTTCATAATAGAAATTTGACCTCATGCCTGCTCATCTCCTAAATAGGAAGAGCATCATTTTTTTGATGAGCATAAAAGGACCCCAAAAGAAGTGCATTCCCAGCTCAAATAACATGTGTTGAGCTAGGATGTTAAGAGACAGCTCCTTTATCCGCATCGCCCCTCTTGAATCGTTAACAGCTCTGAGTTTGATCAGAGCTGAGTTAGGGCAGGTCTTAATTCTTCAACTGAGATTTCTTTGCTCTACTAAGTTCAATCCATGTTGGAGCTATTAAAATGTCTTTTGAGTGCTTAGTCTGAAATTACCTCCTTTTACAGACTTTCCCGTTACATAGATCTATAGCTCTTTGGAAAATGAATTGCTTTTAAATGGTGGTGGTAGAGTGTCTGTGATTTTAATATGATTGTACAATGTGTCTTGATTAATCAACGTTTGAGAGCCATCCATTTCTAAGCCAGACTACAAGTAAATAAAAATAGACTTTGTGTCTAACTCCTGCCTCTAGAACAACAACACGAAAATTCCTCTGAAATGGAGATAATAGGAGCAAGGAGAGGGGAGGCAGTGTCTGAGCCCAAAAACCTGGCAGGCTTAAGTGGGGTACTTAATATTCATCTGGTATTCATTGCAATAACATCAATCTCACCAAATTCTCCTGGTATTAATGTAGATGTTCTGCATTTAATATATACTTCCAGTGGAATTTCATTGTAATTGAGCACTAAATGATGTCCACTTATGGTAAAGTGGTTCCAGAATTTTTTTGTAATAAATGGATTTCAGTAAAATAAAAGATTTCTGATTCATTGCTGAGTCTATATTAGACTCTATGTACTCTAATTGTCATTGACAACCTTTACTGTATTATTTCCAGACAGTTCATAATTTTCCTGCTGAATGGATGATGATTTGTGAGGAAGTCGCTGACTGGATTATGTGGTACCACTAATTTTTTTTTATTGCTCTTGTTTTGCAAAATATTTAAAAAAATCATTTGGATCATCTCTGTTGGCATTGGTATTAGTGGTTATAGAATGATAAAGGGAACAAGTTGTACAGTAACAATGATAGCAGAAATTTACTGAGTTCCAGCTGTGTACCAAAGAGTCTGTGAAGGTAAATACCTTTCCTTCATTATCTCATTGAGGCCTCACAGCTATTCTATAAGTCCAGTTATCATGTACATTTCATTTTTATTTTTTTAAAGATTTATTTATTTATGCATACAAGAACTGGGGTACAGGCCAGAGGTGCAGGGGGTGAGAGGGTTCATCAGAGACAGAGTAGGGAGCAGAACAGGCAGACTGACTGAAATACACTGCTGAGGGGAGCAGCAGGTGAGTCAGGAGAGGTCTGCTGTGCCATGTGGGTAGATCCCTGGCCAGCCAGGGATCAAACTCATGGTGCAGAGGCTGAGGATAGCCTTGTAGTGCTGTGCTTAACCCCTTGTGCCACCAGCAAGGCCCTACCATGTGCATTTTAGTCAAGTGAATTGGGCATCAGAGGATAAGGAGTTTGCATGAGGTCAGACTGCTAGATGGAGGTAGTTGGGAGTGAATTCCTATCTGCCTGGCTTCTGGCCTCAGTCCAGGCTGTAGGTCACTTACTGGATGACTTGTGGAATGGAATCTCTATGAACAGATGCGCAAGCTGTGGATCCAAGATTGTGCCGGATTCTTGTGTTACTGATCACAAGCAGAGTTATTTAGATGACTGAAAAACTATCTCTATGATTAAGAGATTCCCCCTCTTCACCAAGTCCCCCAACTTTTAATTCAGGCATGCTGATGTTTAAGGGAGATATTTGCCTGAAAACTAGACACACAATAATTCCATGAAGTGGATAACGAGGGAGCCAAATCAGGTTGCACAGAAGTAGTTTTTCTGGACACACAATGGCTTCTAGTTAACCCTGGGGTCAGAGCATGTGGCTATTAGGGTTGAAAGCTTCATATGATTCAGGACCCCTAGGCTGTCAATGCTGGAAATTCTAGAAGCCCCATAGGCAGGGGGCTGTCCCAGTTCTGATATTAAACAGTCAAGGGTCTTGGTGAAACATCTAAATGCCTGCAAAATGAAAAGCTTGGGTTGAATTCTACACTTTCAAATGTATATAGATGGTAGCATTATAGGTCCTTCTACAAAAGAAATAGGATGTAGAGTCCTTCGTGGAACAGATGAAAGCCGAGCATCTCTGGTTGAAGTAGGCTCTGCCCCTCTTCATTGGAAGATGGAAACTTCTTAGGTCTCCTTGTCCTGGCCTCGACAGTTTCAGGACAAGTCTAGAAAGCTGCTCCTGAGAGGTCCACCTATTCACCCTTCCATAACTCATTGTGTCTGGGTGTGGTGTACACACAGAGCAGTCGGGCTGGGTCGCTGTTGTGAGCACTGGGCCATTAGTCCCTGGCGAGTTTTCCTTTGCCATATAGCTCCCAGCCTGACAGTTTACTCAGGGCAAAGGTCAGGGCATTAATCATTCCTTTTGGATGTTCCCCATTTTATGTCCCACCATTTCATTTTTCTTTCTCCTCTACTTCTTATATATGTACATGGGTATTCACACAATCCTGCCAGCCACTTCAGTTCTTTCTTTAGCATTTGGATTAGAAGAACCAAAGCAAAAAAACTGTCCCAAATCTTTTCTGATTTCCTGCATCCAATATGTCATTAAGTTCTATAAATCTTGCAAACTGGAGCTCAAATGTCACTTCTTAGAGGTGCTGTTCTGCTGGTGCTCTTACTATTATAATTTTGTTTCCCTAGTATAAGTCACTGTTCCATACATGAGACACATAAGTCGATGATTGCAATATAGCATGATAAGTTCAAAAATTTGACTCAGTTACCCCGTGGTTCTGTTGAAATTCAGTGGAGATAATGGAGAATGTAGCTACTGATTAATAACCACTAATTATCCCTGTATTTATCATTTATGATTAAGTCATTCATGACACACACAAGCTGCCCCTCTTGTCACCCTTATAATACCTGTGTCCTTTATTGCATTTAGACAGAGCTTATGATTACAAACTTGTGTACTTATTTGAATCTGCACTGAACTCACATTGGACTTCAAGTTCCAAGGGCAGGAAGTATATCTGTGGTGCTGATCATTTCATCCTAAGGACCTAACACATTCCCAAGCTTGGGAGGGATGTGCAGCAATTACCTGTTGAATAAATCAGTGTTGAAATTCTCTTTGTTTTGATGCAGTCTGAGCAGAGTCTGGAGACAGGCTGTTTGTCTCAAACCCAGGCTCAACTAATTGCTTACTGTGTGTTCTTGGATAAGTCACTTAAATCTTCTAAAGTTGAGTTTCTTCATCTGTACAATTAGATTGATAATTTATCAGTTTCATAGGGTTTGTAAAAGAGATAAAAGAACTTATGTGAATACTTAGTTCAGTGTCTGGTATGTTGTAAATTTCACCAATTATTGCTTCCTATTATTACAATATTTTTTTCTCTAACGTGACTCATATTTCCATTATAAGAGATACACATATAAACTTATAATTACAATATAACATGATAAGTCCAAGCTTTGGACCCAATTATACTAGGGTTCTTTTTGAAGTCCAGTGGAGGCAATGGAAAATAGACTGACTAATTAATGAACACTAATTACTCAGTTATTCATTTTATGACTCATTCAGTTATGACTAATAAATAATTACTTATTCATTCTTCTAGCCCTGAGCTAGATATTGGGATAAAGTGAAAAAGAAGATACAATTCGTACCATTGAGGAATTAAAAAAATCCAACTATGGACAAAAAAAAAATCTTTATAAATTAAATGTTATAAAAATTACACCCTAATACTAGCAAGATTAAGACTTTAGTGTCTTCAACCTCTGAAAAGATTATGATTTCATCCTCACCCTCCATTCCCCTACTAATTCTATTTTTTTTAAAGATTTATTTATTATTTTATACCAGCACTGGGTACAGTCAGAAGCATGGGAGGGTGAGAGAATTTACCAGAGCCAGAGCAGGGAACAGAACAGGCAGACCGATGAAATACACTGCTGAGGGGAGCAGTGGGCGGCATGAGAGGTCTGCGTGCCATGTGGGACCCTCGCCTGGCAGCCAGGAATCGAACTGGCACTGCAGAGGCTACGGGCAGTGTCGCAACCCAGCGCTCAACCGCTGCGCCACCAGGGAGGCCCACCCCCTACTAATTCTAAATGAAATCAATACTAAACCATAAAATACATGTAAGGAAGGCCAGAAAAATTCTGATTTTTCTTGGGATGACTCATGTGATATTATTCTGGAATGTTATTATCCACAAAATGTCTTTGGGGTCCCTCCTTTGCAGGAACATAAGCCCATGGGGGTGTGCCTGGTGGGTACCCAATGCAGAGTATGGGTGAGTGCATGACACTGGCCACAGTGGACCAGAGTCCCAGCTCTATGGGAATCCAGACCCTGCAGAGGTTCTGGTGGTAAAAGCTGGTGCTAATTATCCAAGAAACAAGAAATAACAAATATTGGAGAGGATTTTGAGAAAAAGGAACCCTCATACCATTGGTGGGAATGTAACTCAGCGCATCAGTTTTCTGAGATTGCTCAAAAAAATTAGAGAAACCCCATCTATCCAGTTATCCCAGTGTTGGGTGTTGACCTGAAGAATACAGAAACATGGATTCAGACAATATGTGCACTCCAACCTTCAGTGCAGGATTATTCATAGTAGCCAATAGTTGGAAACAATCTAAGTACTGATCAATAGAGAAGTGGATGTAGAAGACATGATACCTAGATAAACACAACGGAATACTGGTCAGCTTTAAAAAAGATGAAATCCTAATATTTTGCAACAACATGGATAGATCTAGAAGGTATTATGCTAAGTGAAATAAGTCAGAGGGAAACAAATGACGTCACTCATACATGGTACATAAAGAAACAAATGTAACCAAATGAGCTAAATTAAACATCTCATGTTTTCTGTTAGTCAAAATGTTTTCTATTGCTTGGCGATTGTTTTAAAATTGCTTCAAGTGCAATATACACCTTAAATGAACAAAGCCCCTGGGAGTACCGCCATGTTGTTCTTTCTCTTCCTTCGTTACATTCCATTTCATTGGAGCCCCATAGCCCTGCAGGGACTGCCTGTGAATGGTGAGTGAAGCCTGTCCATCCAACCAGGGGGGAGTTTAGTCTCTTGGGGTGACCTGTGCCCTGCTCCCAGACAAGCTCCCTGAGCAAAGTGATGTAGCAGAGAGGAAGTGGTGAGACTGGAAAGTGTCACAGAACCCCAAGTAGGGAGGATCTCTCCAGCACAGAAAGGGTGTGAGTGTGTGTGGAAGGGAGGCTTGTGTGTGTGTGTGTAATTGTGAATGTGTGTTTTGGGGGTTTGTTAGGGGTTTGTATGTGTATTGTGTATAGGGATTGTGGGTATGTATGGGGGAACTGTGGGTATGTGTGAAGGAATTATATGTGTGCAGGGTTGTATATATGTTGTGAGGAATGTTTTGTGTGAGTGTATATGTGTGTTGGGATTGTGTATGGTGTTTTGGGGGCAGTTTCTGTGTAATGAGGCTGCATGAGTGTGTGTGGGGTAGTGGATGCATGTGAATGGGAGCTGTTTAAGTGTGTGTGTGTGTGTGTGTGTGTGCATGTTGGTGGACATGAATGGTTCCTTTGAAGACTGACATAGTACATAGAACATGGAGAATGAAAGGAGGGTGGTGAATTTTTAGGAGAGGAAGCTGGAGGAGTTTGGGTTGGGGTTCAGTTCAGTTGGGGCCATGCTAAAGTGTTTGGACTTTACTCCGTTAAGTCTCAAAATTACATAGACATGATAACATGGTCCTTAATCACCATTACTGAATGGTCACAGGAAACAAATGAACCCCCAGACTCTTAGCAGGAGACTGCCACTGCCACTTTTGCCTCCATGATGGAAAAAGCAGTTCTTTATTGTTAATGCCAACACCTCAGATAATATACTTTTTATCTCTGCTCATAATGGTCATGTAGATAAATTCCATAAATCAAGTCTCCACAGTAAAAAGGTTAATAAGTTTATGCTGTATAATTGAAAGCCATATTGGTGATTAAAAGGATTTTATATATCAGTTTTCTGGGTCACCAACTAATTATTTTCAATGGCTGGTAATAAAACACAGCACCGTGGCTGGCTAGACACTGCAAACTGTCAGACGTTAAATGGTGTAGAAAGGACTAGAGCAGGTTATTTTAAGTTGACTGGTCTTTTTCTTGGGGTGTGAGCTGTTAAAATCTCCATTGTTTGTGTTGTATCAGACCTACATGATGCTTTGGGGTCTTCTACCCAGAGTAAGGAAGTTAGGCAGTCCCCCAAGTGGAAAGGAATTGTTAAGTTCCTGGACCCCAGGATGGCTGTAATCACTCATATTTAGTGTGCTTGAACCACTGACATAAACAGTTTTTCTTGCAAGACCGTTGCTATAGTATGGCACAAACTTGGTCAGAATGGAAGATTCAAAAAAGAAGGAACAGTACACAGCATGAAGTGAGCATTTACTGAAACCCTAAATGTACCTTGGAGCTGTGCTTTGTGATTTATAGCCAGCAGAGGCCACTGAGTTATGCATTGTCAACCCATGGTTAGTGACATGAAAACCAAGACTTAATTGCCCAAGGTCATGGCTATTAAGGGACTTAGCAAGCATTCCATCCCAGATTGGTCTGACCCCACACTCAGATGACTCCACTACTTGGTTATCTATTTTTCACTTCTGGCTTAGTGGAATACCATCTGAAGGTAAACCAACCACCCAAAGATAAAACATTAGTGGATTAGTTGTGAACTTGATTTGGGATATTGGAGGTTTGAGTGGGAAGGAAGAAGCAAGGTTACTGCTTTGCATATGACACACATTGTGTTGCCCCTGGTGTGGTGTGAGGGATGACTAGTGCTGAGAAGGTCAGTTTCCCAAGTTAGGAGGCTGCATAAAGGTAGGTGCAATGAGACAGGGTGAAGTTAGTGGCTGAGGGGCACTTGTTTCAACTCCTGTATTATTCCTCAAGGATAATATTCCTCAAGAGTGAGCCAGATGTGTCACTCAGTCAAAATGCCATCACCTCTAGAATTTTCTAAAAGAAACATGTGTATGTCAGCAAGGGACATATACATGAGTGCATATGCAAAATGTATGTCAGTAAAGGAATAGAATTCTTATACATCTAAGCGTGAATTAGTAGGCTTAACCCTGAAAGAATTGTCACCCCTTTCTTTTCAATATCTTTTCTTTGGCACTTGAATGTGTCTGACTTTGCCGCATGAAGTAGGAGAGAAATTAAAGTTGGAAATTTCTTGTAGGTGATGTCTTTCCTTTGGTTTTGCAAGTGCTTTGTCAGGTTCTGGCATTATCTTGCAACAAGGTGCTGTGTTGGGTTGGGAGTGTTCATCTGTGCGCATATTTGTAGAGGGCTTGGGAAGATTCATAAAATCCTTCTCTTGGAGCTCTGTAAGGTCTGCTAATGGTAGATAAATCAAAAAGTTTGAACTACTTTGCCTTCAAAGGCAAATCGTTTGCAGATGAAATAAAGACTGAAAATTGGAAGGTGGATGCCATTGTCTTGGCTGCAGAGTTTAGTCCTTTAAAGAAAAGCCAAGTGCATCTAGTATGATGATGACTGGTTTAAAAATGTTTTTGACAGATATGGTAATCAAACCACCAAGTAAAGGAGACAGTCTGAAGATGGCACTGACACTGGACATTCCAGAACTCTCCATGGGCTTTGTAATGAAACCCAGGTGCTTTCTTTTCTTGGCATCCAACCTAGGGAAAGACCGACTTCTCTGAGGCTTCCATTCCCACCTGCCATCAGACAGTTCCTGAAATGTAGGTGCAGCCTCTGTGCTTTCTGGAGAAAGAAGGAATCATTAACCCCAAAGCCCTGGGAAAGACTCAGAAATGAACGCAGAAAAGGCCAATGAGCTCCACGTGGTCAGAGGGAGCAATTCACTTTGCAGGGATAAGCTAGACTTCTCCTCTTACAGAGATCTTCTTTATGTCCATTGAGACAAGAGCATTCCAACAATGGCAGCTTCCTTAGCAGCAGCTCAGCCATGGTTTAGAAGGAAATGTTGGGGGTCGGGTGGGAAATGGGAGGTGAGGGGGTAGCGGGAGGAGCAGAGTGAGGAACAGACTTGAAAGGGAAGAGAGAGAAGAATACTCAC